TTCCTGCCTTCCTTACAGGATTAGGCCAGTAATTTCTTCTAACAACCAGTTCTCCAAACTACTTAGAATGTTAACAACTGGTTCTAGAGAATAGGTGTGAACCTGTAGAATCCCACCCCTGGATCCAGTGTTACATTCAAGACCTTGAGAGATCATTCTAGGTCATGGATACTCACTTTCCCACATTCCACTTTCCTCTGCTAACGTTTTGCAGCCAATATTGAAACCTGCTGTGTCTATCAGAGAAGAGACAACAATAGAGCAAGACAATGAAACCGAGCTATTTTCAGCTGTCTTCAGAACAAAGGAGCAGTGCAAATTTGCCTGCTCCTCCTTGGGGAGTTTTTGGGGATTGTAGGAAAATTCATATGGCAGGAGAACCCTTTGACCTACTTCTCACATGCCCAACTGATCTTTTATGGAACAACAGTCCAAAAGATCAGCTTGTCACAAGACAGGACTGGCTTGATGTTTTTATGTTTTGTTTGTTTGTTTTTTAAAAACCAATAAAAACTTAAATAAAAAAAAAGATTCACTTCAGCTCTCTAAAAGCTCATACATTCCATCAAAGTGAAGGTCAAGTAGCGGCCAGAGGTGGATCTTCACAGGTGGATGACCAATCAACAAAGCAAGGCAAAGAAGTGAAAGCTGTTGATCTCTGTAATGTTATGCAATTAGCCGTTTGGAGAGATCACACTAGCTTCTTATGTTAGCATTTAGAGCAGGCTTGTCCAACCCGCGGCCCATGGGCCGCATGCGGGGGCAGTAGCGGTGGCGAGGGAAGAAGCGGCGGCGGGGGCGGGGGAAGGCTTCTGCCCTCACCACCGCTGCTGCTTCTGCCTTCCAGTCCTGCCTCATCCAGCCGGGCCATTTGCAGGAGGAGAGGTAGGCGCGAGGCGGGTGAGCTTTCTTCCCCCCCCCCCCCCAAAAAAAAATTTGGCCCGAAAATAAACCATGATAAAAAAACTGTGATAAAAAAATCATGATAAAAATAAATAATTTTTAATTAATAATAAATAATAAAAACATCTCACTAACTTCATTTCGAAATAAATTTAATATGTTAACTATGTTTTCTATGTTTTTTTGGATGATCAGGTATCGTTACTGTTATTTTATTTTATGTGCGGCCCAAACCAAATTTTCATGTTCTAATGTGGCCCAGGGAAGGTGAAAGGTTGGACACCCCTGATTTAGAGCTTGTACATGTGATGGGATGCAATTTTTTTGCCCCAGAGAACAACCAGCCAAATTCTATTTTCTTTGGTGCAGGGCTACCAAAAGACAGCTAAATTCTAATTCAGATCCAACTTTGTCACTCACAGCATGTTCTAGGAACTGTAAGTGACCTCAACAAGTTCCAACCTAGATAAGACCAACAACCTCTCCTTTCATGTATTTCCCATTCATTGGCAGCTCTCAGAAGTGAGGCTCTCATTTGCCTTTCTGTGACCTTTGTTTTTAATGGAGACGCAAAAGGATCCTGAGGGCAGCTGAAGTGAATTCAAATTGAAATCAATTCATGTGTTTCTCAATTAACAGTTTAAAAACGTAAGTTCATTTCTGTTGTATGCAAACAATGCCAGCAGGGTTGCTCATTTTCTTTTCCTGAGAGTTCTGTGGATCTAAAGGTGCTGTATACTTGCTCTGTATCATATGCAAAAACTCTGTATCATGTACAAAAAAGAATATCCCTGGGAGCATTTTCTGGGAAGCTCATATAGATGTTCCTCACCCCTGCTTTCCAGAATGGGTTTACATGGGGCAATTCATACCATGATGCTATACCAGAAAATGCCCCCCAAGATACATAGACATATGGGACGCCAAGTGACATCATAAGCATCATAGCAACATTATGGAAACTCTGAAATAATGTGCAGCAGATATTACATAATTCACATCCACTGTGTGATGTTATCATGATGCTTGTGGCATCCACCAGATGCTAATGTTATGCCAGGGAGTAGAAAGGGAGCCACTTGACAGAAGGATGGTTTCAGATGCCAGAAAGTTTTGCTCACATTGAGAGAGGAGGAAAAGGCAAGTACATTTTTGAGAACGCATGGAGGGACCCGAGGAAAGATTTTGGAGTAGCAGTATTTTAGGGTGTTCCACAGTGTCATGGACAAGGGACCCAGGAATGCAGACTGTCTGCTGAAGGGAAGAAGAAGGGGCCTTCTGGAGAACCTAAATACAGCCCATCTGTAAATCTTATAACAGCAATGGCGGCACCTTCTGGCCAGGAGCAGACCATTAAAATTATTGCCTTGCTTAACCTCCAGGAACTGCTAGAGCAGAGTCCTGATGGAGGAATGTGCTTAGAGGGAGATGACTGGTGGGATCTGGTGCAACACAGGGGTCTTGAGCTCCACCAAAACCCCCAACACACATTTTAAACATTTCAAAAAAAAATCCTCCAGAGGCACCATTGCTTCCTGCCACATTTCTTGCGGGTTTTAGAAGTAATCTATAAAGGCCCACCCCATCTCTTTGATTCCATATGGGTGCAAAGGCTACGAGGCTGTTCACTCAGGACCCAGTGAAGAAAGAGGGCTTCAATTGGTACTAACTCTCCTCTCTTTGGCATAACATAAGCAGTGGAAACAAACAGTGGGGAGGGGGGAAGCCAGAAACACCTGAAAAAAGCTGCTGAAAAACGCCACTGCCTGATTCTATTAAGACAGAGGTCCCTGGCCTGCTAGTTTAAGCAAAATAACCTGAGCAAGTTCAGTTCACATCTGAATTGGGACAAAATATTCTGGCATATGGAACTCCTGGGGGAATTCTGGGGTGTGGCTTTCCAGCACTTGGAGAACTGAATGGTGGAAGAGGAGAAGTCCAGCGAGTTGGTTTCATTCAGTTCAAGATCACATTGCAATGGAGGCTTCCCATCCAACACCAAAGGCTCACGAGTGGAGTTGGCCAAAATACTGTCAGCCTGATTATTTGTCCATGTTCTTCCCAGATTGAGCTGGAAAATAGAGAAAGAGATAGCTCAACAGTTCTCATTCTAAGCAGAGGAGCTGTTTTGCTGCAGACAAAATTTGAAGAATTCTTTGGCAGCAAGTTAAAATCTACTCAGTAAACTGTTGACTGTCAAAATGTATATTGCTCTTGACTTTAACAGTTGGACTTTCCACTGTGAAAAATTGGGCAACTAACTAACATTCCACCATAATTGAGGAGAGTTCCGAGGTCAGTTGCCCAGAGAATTTGGTGGTTTTTGTGTGTGAAGGATGATCTTATTTTTTTCAGAAAAGGATATTCATGTGAGAAAGCTGTAGAAGATGAATCTTGACAAATTTGAACACTGGGCTCTAACTAACAAAATGAAATTCAATGTAGAGAAATGTAAAGTCCTACGCTTAGGCAAGAAAAACCAAAAGTACACATATAGACTGGGTGAAACAAGGCTAAATAACAGTAACTGGGAGAGGAATCTTGGAGTCTTAGTAGACAACCAGCTAAATAGGAGCCAGCAGTGTGCAGCAACCGCCAAAAAAGCCAATGCAATGCTAAATTGCACTAACAGAGGGATATAATCAAGATCAAGTGAGGTACTAATGCCACTCTATAAAGCCTTAGTAAGACCACACCTGGAGTACTGCATCCAGTTTTGGTCACCAGACTCTAAAAAAGATATTGAGAGACTAAAAAGAATGCAGAGAAGAGCAATCAGGATGATTTGTGGACTGGAGACTAAAACATATGAAGAATGGTTGCAGGAACTGGGCATGTCTAGTGAAGAGAAGGACCAGGGGAGATAGGATAGCAGGGTTCCAATATTTGAGGGGCTGCCACTGGAGGAGGAGGTCAAGCTATTTTCCAAGGCACCCGAAGGCCAGACGAGGAATAATGGATGGAAAATCAACAAGGGGAGATTCAACCTGGAAATAAGGAGAAATTTTCTGACCGTGAGAACAATCAACCAGTGGAACAGAAGTTGCCGTCAGAAGTTGTGGGAGCTTCATCCCTGGAGGCTTTCAAGAAGAGGCTGGACTGCAATTTGTCAGAAATGGTATAGGGTCTCCTGCTTGGGTGGGGGGAGTTGGACTAGATGACCTATAAGGTCCCTTCCAAATCTGTTAAGATGGCCAGGAAGAGTAGACTGGTCCCCATGTTTCAATTATTTTGAGGGAATGGATGGGAATCATGAGTCTTAAGAATTTTGTGTCTTTTTTCTTCCCCAACCTGGGAAAATTCAACCCAGTGTGGCAGGCAGATCTGGATAGATTGAATGGAGCCTTTAAACACCAGCCACCAATGAATGGATAGAAGAATGGACAGCCTCTCATACAGTTCTGGAAAGCGACTGGTACATTTTCTGAGCATTTAGAACTCTGAATTTCAGTATCTTCACAATGAGGCTGCATGGGGTCTGCAGAACATTGCAGCCAAAATTACTATTTTTCCAAATATTACATTATAAGATAGTATTAAAAATAATTTTACAATCTGGGCAAGGAAGAGCAGGTGGTAGGTTTACAGTACCTTTAGGAACAAATGTGAGAGAACTGCTAAATATTCAGAAACGAGACTGGCCCTTTTGGGGGCCATCGTCGAGGAATTCATGGCCCAGGCCATTCCCACACTTGCCACATGAGACCTGCAAGGAAATTAGAGGGGAATTAAGAATAAAAACTCTGCTGCTTCTATACAAAGACCCTTTTCCTACAATCAGCTGAAAAACAGAATTATAGCCCATAACAGAGAGTAATCCATGTCTAATCCCATAGTTTTTCTACAATGTTTATTCAGAAGAAAATACTATTTCCTCTGCAGCTTATGACTTTCTTCTTCTAATTACTTCCTTACTATTAATTCTCCTAGTTCTTTTGTCTCCCTCCTGGAAGGCAGTCTTTGATTATAATATTTAAGCAGTGATCAAGACGCTTCTAATTGAAAATATGGTATCTACAAAATATCTCAAAAGCACTATACTGTTTTTGAAACACAGTTACAAAATTTCATAAGGCTTTAAAAACCTGGCTATGTGTCTGACCTTGAACCCCCGAATGAGTTAAGAGTGACATTTCTTGGCTTTTCTGACAATTAGTTTTATATTGCAATTTTCTCAGCTGCTGTAATTTATTTTGTACAGTTTTTGTTTTAGAATTTAAACAGTTGGAATCGCTTGTCTGTGATGGGCATCTATAGAAAATAAGTAAATTCAGATTTTGAGGAAAAACCTGTAGACCCGATATTAAAAAAAGAAAAGGACAAGAAATGTTTAAACTGTAATCCACACCGGCACCAACACCGGCTATAAGAAGTAAGTAAAACATGAGGATAATTCTACCTCATGCCATTATGAAGAAAGATGCCCTGTTAAAGAAGTTGCTTGCCTTCTGAATAAACAGATTCTCTTCAAAGCCAAACCTTGGAAACAATCCCTACAATTTCAAATGCAACTCTGGGCATCAGTAGATTTACCAGCAAGTTTCAGCTGCATTTGGGATACCGATTCATGCCAAGCTTCGACTCAATTGAAGCAAGTCCTCACCTTGAAAGCTCCTGGGCGTTCTAAGTACTTGGAGATGCTGTCGCTGTGAATAGGATGGGTAAAAGCTGGCCAAGGGGATGAATGAAGGAATTTGGACTGGCTGGAGAATAATTCATAGCCGCATTTGGAACAAATGTATATACCTGTGAGCAAAGATGGAGATGGGGAGGAAGAAGAATATATATGATGTGGAGGAATTAAATAGGCACACATTCACAGGAAGGCTGGGGTGCGGAGGGAAGCATGTCTCATCTCAATATCAGCCAGAAATTATTTGATAACCATCACAGGTTTTCTAGAAAGTTGCCATTTTTTTTCCTTCTGTACACATTTCTATTGGCAGTTATCGACTTACGACTGGTCACTTGGCAACTGTTATGCCGGATCCCTGCATTAGGCAAGACCCAGTTCTGAATTCCAATGCCCATTCCCCACAGTCACATGGCTGCATTTTGGGTGATTGGCAATTTGCAAGATTCCAGTCATGTGACTGCCATTTATGATTTACCTGGAAATTGACATTTATTTTTGGTTTCTGGCAAAAACTGGCTCATGATGAAAAATGGGTTTATCTAATGACCATAGTGTTCCCTTAACAAGTTCACATATATAACTGCTACATAAAAGGTTGTAAAATTAGATTGGTCACAGTGACCTGCTTTACAGCTTTCATGAGTTATCCTAATCCCCAGGCTTAGCTACTGCCATAAGTTGGCTACCTGTAAATATTTTCATAGCAGAGAAGGAAAACGAGATCTCAACAAAACCAACATGGTTGCATAAAAACAAACTGAGAGGAAAAAAGGACAGGTATAAAACACCGAAGGAGGGACATATAAACTAAAACAGAATACCAGCAAATAGCCCAAATCTGAAAGGACAAAGTCAGGAAGGCAAAGGCTCAGAATGGCAAGCTAAGATTTGCAACAAATGCAAAAAATAATAATAAAGTTTCTTTCAATATGCAAAAAGCAAGAAAAAAGTTAAGGAAGCAATCCATCCACTAATGCAGGGGTCTCCAACCCCCGGTCCATGACAAACTTGAACACTGGGCCCTGTCCAACAAAATGCAATTCAGTGGGGAGAAGAGTAAGGAATTACACTTAGATGAGAAAAAAACAAATGCACAGGTATAGAATAGGTGGTACCTGGCTCAACAGTAATAACTGTGAGAGAGATCTAGGTGTCTTCATGGAAAACCACTTAAATATGACCCAGCAGTATGCTGCAGATGTAAAAAGGCCAATGTAATACTAGGATCCATGAATAGACGAATAGTATCAAGAACACATGAAGTATTAATACCATTCTACACTACTAATAAAATCAAACCTGAAACTCAGTGTTCACTTGTGCTCACAACACAAAAACAATATTGAAGCTCTAGAAAGAGCGTAAAAAAGAGCAACAAAGTTGATAAGGGGTCTGGAGGCTAAACCATATGATGAATGTTTGAGAGAACTAAGTACGTCTACTCTAACAAAGAGAGGGATTAGGGGTGATATACTGTAAATATTCTCATAGCAGCAAAGGAAAACGAGATCTCAACAAAACCAACATGGTTGCATAAAAACAAACTGAGGAAAAAGGGACAAGTATAAAACACCGAAGGAGGGACATATGCCTTCCAATATTTGAGGGACTATCACAGAGAAGAGGGGGTCAACCTATTTTCCAAAGCACCTTAGAGGAGGACAAGAAGTAATGGGTGAAAGTTTGTTAAAGAGAGAGCCAACATGAAATTAAGGAGAAATTTCCTGACAGAACAATTAACCAGTGGAATGATTTAAGATCTGCCTTGGGCAAGGGGTTGGACTAGGACCTCCAAGGTCTCTTTCAACTCTGATTCTATCATTCTAGTTGTCTGAAAGAAAGAGCAGTTCTCAAGACAAGAGATCTCCGTGGGTTCAGCTTCAAGGCCATGAAGGAGATGGCAGGGAATCCACTGGAATGTGGGACATTTGAGAAGCAGCGGCCATGGGTTGAGATTGCTTCAAGAAGAGTGCTTCAAGAGTGTTTCATGAGGAACCTGGATTCTCATGTTGGCAAAGAACAATCAAGGGTTAGTGCAGCTTCATTATAGTTAAGAAGCCCTGTGGTGCAGTGGTTAGAGTGCTGTATTGCAGGCTAATTCTGCCCACAACCAGGAATTTGATCCTGACCAGACTGGCTCAAGGTTGACTCAGCATTCCATCCTTCCAATTGGTAAAATGAGGACACAGATTGTTGGGGACAAGAGGCTGACTCTGTGAATCACTTAGTGGGGGATGTAAAGCTCTATGGAGCAGCATATATGTCTAAATGCTATTGCTATTAAAGATTAATATTAAGGATAACATATCCTGTGTCTGAAAAGACTTAGATTTTTTGGAAGTGGGAAAACATTTGCTCAAAAATATAATAATTAGCTGAGCAACACCAAGCCAATTCTAATTTGCACATATAACCACATACCCCAGAGCCAAAACTTGCCAGACTCTGCCGTGACTCTGCAGTTAGGACTGCAGAGCCAGAAACCTAAACTTAAGTTGGTACTGGACAGATCTGTTTTTTCTTTTGCCTGGGAAGAAGAGTAAAATGACAAACGTAGGGAAACCAGCAACTGACACAATTTTGACTTCTTTGTTACAGGAAGCTATGGGAAATGGTGGAAGAAACTATTTTATTCTTGAACATGAAGTGGTGGCAGAAATCAGGGCCTGTGAATATGCAATCAAAGAAGGAGCTGCTGGCCATCAGGGAATGAAGGAGCCACCAGAAACAGAAAGTGAGACTGCAGGCTGGAGATGGCAACTCTACAGCAACAGTGGACAATGCAGAGATGAGGGTTGGAAGGTTGGGAGGTCTCTTAGCTTGACGATCTGAGTCTTCAATAGTGTGTGAGAATGAAAGAAGCCCCAAGAGGAAGGCCCAAATCATTAACTGCTGTCGGAAAGGAATTCTGTACTGTAAAGAGCCAAACTACGATATAAAGTTAAAAAGAGTAATGAATTTGGCATACATTTAAGAGAAATATCTATCTCCATAGAATGCTTTTGAAATATTATCATGAATGAAAATAATGGCATTATTGTCTCTGTTGCTATGATGATTCCACAAGCAGAGGGATTTTCTTGCACAAGAGGATGACAAAGGCTGCAGTATATTTTTAGGAACAGATTTTCCAGATATACTTTGGGAGAGCAACAATCCTGATGGGCCAGAGGAACGTTACTGCAATGTTAAAGCAAAAGAGTAAGGCAAGGAAACAGTGCTGCATCCCATAATATCTGAACTGCTGCACCCAAATTTGGAAATGCCCATGAAGTGGGAGAAGTAGCTTTTAATGGAAAAACTCCCTTGATACCCAAGGAGGCTTCTTAAAAACAATACCGATCATTTTAGCTTTTGCTTTTGCCTCTTGACTGTCAGCAAATAGCAGATTGCATAAGTGGATCTGCCCATGCTGAAGCTTCCCCATTTGCTTCATGCTCCAAGATAGCAGTTTAGGAGCATGTGGGAGGCCTTTCTGGTATAGAGAAAATGCCTTCTTTCATGATTAACATATTAACATAGAACTACTGCCATAAACTGGGTCTCCTCAGGATAAACAGGGAAGGGTGAGGTATTTTGTAACTTTCTATCATGGATCTCCACACTGGAGGAGAGTTCAGAGGAGGGGGGGGGGGAGAAAGATGAACTGGGTCCTGGCACCGCAGGGGAAACCAGTATGGAGAGGCTAGACTAGGGAGCTCAAGGCTCCAGCTTGAGGGAGCAGCCCCAGCGGAACAATCAGCTGGCCAGCAGGCTGAGACAAAGCTGAGGAGCTGCAGCAGGTCAGCCTGGAGGCTTCAGGGGAAGAACAGCAGCAGCTGCTTGAGGAGGAAAAGGTGGGGTCCACTCTTCCAAGGATGTGCAGGGCAGAGAGGCGACAGGCACCACCCTGGCTGGCCAGATTATTGGCAAGGAGGCAGTCCTCCCCATTGTGAGGGGCCACACCAGAGTTGCCTATTCAATCCCACCCAAAGGGATGGGCGTTGCTGGAACAACCTGATTCCTGCTTCTCATGTTCTGCCTCATGTTGAACTTTGGACCTCTGGTTCGTGCCTTGACCCCAACTCTTCCCTCGTCCAATGCCTTTGTTCTGGCCTCTGCCTGGCTTCGGGAATTGGGACCGTTCCTTAGTAGTCCCGGTGGGACTTAAGAGGGGCCGTGGGGGGCTTCTGTTATTCAAGAGCTGGGAGCTGTGCGCGCGAGCACAGCTGCCCACTTGCTCCCGTCAAGCCCGGGAAGCTTCTGAGAACTTTCTCTTCCTCAAGCGCCGATCAGAGACAGAGTAGGGAGCCCGGGGAGGTGAGGGTTCCGGCTCCTCCAGAGCCACTGGGGCATAAAAGGGAGGGGGGGGGGCTTGCAAGATCCTGTCCATGAGCGCCATTCGTCGTCCCGCGGACTCCCTTTCCTCCTCTCCGGCCCTGGAGGGCTGGCGCACGCCCTCCCTGAGCATCCGCGATGGGGACGTTCGCCGGGTCTCGCCCTGCCCTGCCTCCTAGGGGTGTGGTCTGCTTGAAATAGACGGGGGGCTTTAACACCAGACGACCTCCAATCCCCCTCGGGATCTGGTCCAGGACACAGGAGCTCCGCCCCTCCCACCTCCCCAGCAAGGTCTCCTGCCTGGGGAGGGGGTTGCAGGTCACCAAAAACTTTCCCGACCTCCGACTCCTTTGCTTTCCGGGAAATCCCCCACCCCACGACCAGCAGGGAGCTCGGCCGGACGCTCTCCGCAATCTGAGCCGCTGCCGAAGGCGCTTGGAGCCAGGCTTCCCCGCCGCGCTCTCGCCTTACCGGCCTCGAAGTGGCCCTGATAGTCCTCCCCGCCGAAGAACCTGCAGAAAGCCATGGCTGCCCCGCCCGCCTGCTTGCTGGCCCGCCTGCCGCCGCCGCCGCCGCCGCTGCTCCGGGCGCCCCCTTTTAAGGGCGGCCGCCGCTCCTCCTCCTCCTCCTCCTCGTCCTCCTCCTGCAGCGACGAGGGCGGCAGGGGGCGGCGCTGCGCAGGTAGCGCCTCCCCGGCGGGCGGCGGGGCGGCACCGCTGCTTCTGGGCTGGCCCCGCCGGTGGGCTGCGCTTGAGGAGGTGGCTGGCTTGGTGCAACAACCAAAGGGGCCCCGTCGTCCGGGGCGGCTGCGTGCTTAGAGTTGCCCAAGGGGGCCCATTTGAACCGGGGCGCGGTCCCCTAATGGCCTCTTGCAGCCCTTGGGGGAAGCGCCGCCTTTCCCCGGCCGCTTTCTACGGGGCCGCCTCCTTGGAGAAGGCCCGGCGGCCACCCGAAGGCGGGCGGGCCGGCTTGTGGCAGCGCCGCTCGGCCCGCCCGAGAGTGGAAGGCCTTGCCGCGCAAGAGGCTCTGGAAGCGGGAAGCCGAGGCTCCTCCGTCGCGCTGCTGCCCGAGGCCGTTTATGACCCTTCGGAATGGGGAAGGCTCCCTCTGGTTTCAGAGACGTCGAAGGGAGTCCCACTTGCACTGTATCTGCACTGCCTCAAGTACAAGCACCGATCTTGCCGTCTGGCTCAGTCATTTGGTGGGAGGTTTCCCGCCAATGTTCTCTTAGACTTTGTGTTCCCGGTTAGTGTATCTCAAAATGGGAAATGGTTCGCGATTTAGAAAAGGCCACCTGAATTTCCAGCTTAGCATTTGCATTTGGCGGAGGAAGATGGAGCTGACACATTTCCTTAGCTTCCTTTATGGCCTAACACCAGCCAACGGTTTAGAAGGTCAGGAAATCTACCTTGTACAAATAGGGGATAATTTACATTACATGGAAGCTAAACTGATTTCCAATAACAGATTTTCTTAGAGATATTGACAGACTGGTCACTGTAGTATGGACACTCATGATGAGCTTTATTAGTTCCATTTGTTGTTGAGTATAAAGTAGAAGAAGTAACAAATATAAACAGATTTGATTTTGGAATCTGAATAATCCTGCATTCATACCGGAGATTATTAGTATTAATTACATCCTGATGGGTAACACATCCATTCATGGCAATGTGGAAAATCCTGTATCGGGCATGCAAATAGTATTACAATGTTTGGGGACTACTATAGCGCAGCAGTGTACCATGTGAGATACTGACAATATCTGTTTGCACATCTTGATCCACGATCCTCCGCTCTCATCCCCTCAAGGGTGGCTGAAGATAAACATTTCTGGGATGGAAAGGTTAACATGCAAGATCCTGACTCTTTTTGTTTTCCCAAGGATGAATACTGTGCAGCAATATAAGATGGGCTGGAGAGGATGCCCATAAGGTTGGTTTTAGCCAGAATCTGGGAGGAGTCCCTAAAACAGAGCATGGCAGACCAGGGAATCCTGGGAGTCATCTTAAAGTTGAACCGTCCTGAGGAGGTGAGCATGTTTCTGTTAGAGCCTTAGGGGCCAAGTATGCCATTCTTATTAAGGATTCAGGAATTTTATTTGAATAAGCCTCTATTCAAAAAGCCTCTATATAAACATAGCTGGGTACAATATAATATCTGGCCCAAAACGCTGCTAGGACAGCAATAGAACTTGCATACTTTAATGGTGGCTTTAATGATGTTTGACTTTGCAGTAAGCTCCCACTGTCCTAGCAGGTAGAAGACTGAAAACTAAACCTAGCTCAAACCATTAATGTTCCACCTGGGAGGAATCTTCAAGCATTTTCTTGAGGACACCTGAAACTTTGCTGAAAACAATTAAAATTAAATGTCACAGACCAAGGTATTTCTTCTATTGCTGAGATGTTATTGAAACATGACAAAATCACTAAAAGAATGAAATGGGTTGGGTTTTTGTTTTTGTTTTACAAATTGTTCAAAGATCAGGGTGATCCCAAAACAAGTAGACGCAGGGACAGTTTTTTCCCCTGGTGCCCTCACTCTGCTCAATTTCTCAAGAGTGCTGCTGTCTAATGTATATTTAGCCACGTTGTGTGATGGTAATATTATTTATCCTTATTATCTTCTTTACTCCCCCATTGGTATCATTACTAGACAAATACATTTTTAACATCAGTTAACCTCTTTTTAGCCTTGGTTTCTGAAATGTTATTTATTGGCTGAATTTAAAAAATAAGCAAAACAAAACAGGCAGCGTGAGCTGTGATCCTGGTCTCTTTGGCTGAAACAGGGTGATAATCTTTATTCTCCTCACCTTCAATGTGTGATCTCTATCCTTAGTTACCAGAAAAAATATACTTGCAAAATATGCTTCTAATAATGAACGGTCTTGATAATAATTGCACCACATTGGCAAAGATTCTGGGTACTTGACCTAACAAAAAAGCCAGAACAATAACAAGAAACTTCCAGGAAGACCATAGGGAGCAGAATAAAATCATTCCACACCAAATCTTATCCGGGCTGCCCCCACCCTGCCCAAAGTCTAGGAGAGCGGCCAGGTATCCAGTGCCTTGCAGAACATTATGACAACTCAATGTATGGCCAGGGGGAGTCCTATTCAGAAGGCAGGTGCTAACATGCTAAGCAAGCAGAGTTCAACGTTGTGAAAGAGTCACAATGGCAGTGAAAACTGCAATTAGGCAGAGCTTCAATTGCACAGTTGTACTCCCCCCAAGCTGAGTAAAGATTTAGCTGAGGCATTTGCACAACAGGCTTTCTTTTACATAACATACTAAGCTGTTAGGCAGGGCAGGGTTTTTGGGAGCTTAGTGCATTAGTATATTAGGTTACATACACACCAGAAAAGGGTACAAATCTATAATCAAAGAGTGTTGTGCAAATGCAACTAAGATATTCTCTCCTCCAGCGTTGAACAGTTGTCTAAAACCCGGGGATTAACCCCCCTCCCTATTTTGGGATTTTGGCTCTGAAGCAGAGCTGCTCTACTGGCAGGCCAAGCCTTGGAAGGGGGGGGGGGCTTGCATGTAATGGCTCCCATGGGCCACAAGGCACCTTAAGATCAGGAGCCAGTTCCTCCTTAAGCTCCTAATAGGAAGGGAAGGACTTGGCGTTTAGCTGGAAAGAACAGGAATTGCAGGCAGGGAAGCCATTTTTGAGAACATGAGCCCCCACAACAAAATCCTTACAAGGGCTCTGGATGGCCGAGTGGCCTCTGTGCATGTTTGTTTCCCTTGATGGGCTGTAGGAGAAAGAGCTGAGCACATGGCAAGTGGGGCAGAGGGAGGGAAGCTGATCCATCGGTCAGGATTGGCAGGCTCAGCTTATCTTGCTACTGATAGGCTGTGGAAGGGGGGAGGACTGGAGTGCACCATGGAGGGGGGCACTTGGAATAAGGTCAGGGGTCTAGAAAGATGCCTGTTTTTAGGACCCATCACAGTAGGACACAAAGTAGGTGGGAACCAGGACAGCCCTGGAGTTAATTTCAGTCCCTGCCAGATCATCGGTGTGTGAAAGTGATTTCTGCTGTGTTTCTCCTTCCTTTCCTAGAGGCTGCAAGCAGCATGACTCTGAATTACCTAGACTTCAAGGGGACTTGCCAGGCTCACCCCAGATTAATGGGGCATGACACTCCTCGGAAGCAGCCCTCTCCTGCAGATGGACCCAGGCTGCAGCAGCAGCAGCAGCAGCAGCCTGCACTGAGGCAGCTCCCAGGGCATCCAAAACGCTCCATGTTTGGGGCTTGAGTGCAGGGTGGCAGCCCTGGAGGGAACGGCAGCAGCAGTGGCATATGGATCCCGGAAGCTGGACTTTGATGCGGTCAAGGCACAAGCCAAGAGCATCAGGGCGAGCTACAGCGCTCCCATTCAAGCAGGGAGATAATCTGGTGGCCTGCAGCTGCCAAGCCACATGAAGAGGATCCCCGCCGTGGGGTGACCCCCAAGGAGCCTCGATCTGGGCTGGAGGGTCGGAAAAGATTGGTGAGTTTGGCAAAGATGAGGGGCAGATATATGCAAGCTTTATTTCATTCCATTCCATTCTCATTGCAGGATGCAGGCTTCAAATGTGCTCTTTGCGGAATTCAGAGGCCAAATCAGAAAAGCATAACTTCTTATTGGATAAACTGCTGCAAAGGAAAAAAAGTAGAGAAGGGTTTATAAGCAGGGAGGGATTGTGTATGTGAGTGTGATAGAGAAGGGCGACTCTAAGTATCCCACACAAGGACAAATTTCTTTGAATGTCGTTTACTTTTCATGCTAAGCAAATAACTTAGGAAAAGGAATGTGACGCTCACTCCATGAAACCTGAGAATAATGAAAAAGAGGAAAGGAGGTTGTAAACTCCCCTTTCCGAGACACAAATGGCTTTGCACCAGAGGTGATGCACTCTTTTGGGGGGGGTGGGGGGGTAGTTTCAAACTTGGTCTGTCCCTCCTTCTCCACCTTGGGAGGGAATGCTTCCACCTATTCCCCACCAGCTGCAGATTCCCTGTTGCGCCTGGAAGTGCTGGTTCCATTCAGGAGGCAGGTTGCAGCGCCTCCTTTGCAACCCCCCCCCCCTGCCCAGTTGACCCCCTGCCAAAGGGAAGGATCTGGAGGAGGAAAGGCCTTTGTAGATGAAAGAGGTCGCTGCCTGCCCTTTCTTTAAAAAAAAATATTGGTTTTTAAAAACAAACATAAACAAAACATAAAAACATCAAACTATCTTCCATATGTGTACATACAGTGTGCCAGTTGGTTTACAAATTGTTTTGTGCTTCCATTTCGTAGTCTTCAATTACAATTACATTGCATATAATCTCATATTTTCAATCAAAAATTAAATACCTTAGTATCATTATTAATCATTTGACTATACTTTTATTCATTCGTGTTTTATAAGATAATCATAATTTACTTAGTTTATTTTATAACAGTTCATATTAACATCCCAAATCTATCCTAAAATCATTTTGTAGATATAATAAGAAAGAAGTACATCTTTATATATTTATTATTTTCTGAAAGTCTACATATTTCATTACTGTATTTTATTGTCGAACCATTGATAGAAAAGATCCCAAATGTTATAAAATTGTTTATCCTCTTGTTCTCTAATTTCAAATGTCAATCTACTCATTTCAGCACATTCCAATATTTTCTTAATGATTTCCTCCTGTCATGGTATTTTCTCATTTTTCCAGTTTTTAGCAAATACAATCCTAGCCGCTGTTAATACATTTACAATCAGGTATTTCAAGTCTTTACTATATATTTCAGGTAAAATTCCCAGTAAAAATATATCTGGTTTCAAATCTATATGTTTTTTTGTCATTTTTTCCAACCACATGTGGATTTTAGTCCAGTATTTTTTAGCATCTGCACAAGTCCACCACATATGGTAATATGAGCCAGGTGTCTGATGACATTTCCAACATTTTTCAGATTTATTCTTGAACATTCTTGCTATTCTTGTCGGGGGAAATGCCACCTGTAAAACATCTTATGCAAATTTTCTTTATATGCTGTTGACATTGTCATTTTTATAATTTTGAGACCACAATTTCTGCCATTTCTCTAAATCAATCCCATATCCAAAATTCCATATCCAAATTTCCCCAAGCAATCATAGTTTCTTTAACTTGTTCTTCTAATTTAATTTCCAATAAATATCCATACAATTTTTTAATCACCTTTTCATCAGTACCTGTCAAAATCTTATCTAAATCAGTCAATTTATCACAGAAACCTTCCATTTTAGAATCTTTATCATACCTTGAATGTATTTGCGCATATGAAAACCAATTCATCTTTATACCTTGTTCCTCTAGTTTTTGTATAGATTTGAGTTCACCCTTTTCATTCAATATTTCACCATATCTAACTGTTTGTTCCTTTTTGTATATTATAGGATAAGAAAATGCTTCAATAATCGATAGCCAGACTGGAATTTTGAAATAATATTGTCTTTTTATCTTCTCCCAGTTTAACCACAGAGACTCCTGTATATAATGTCTTCTAAAATACCTGTTTTAGTTCCTTTATACCATAAAAAAGCATGCCACCCCAACAACAAATCATGTCCTTCTAATGTCAACAATCTAGTATTTCTTAGTGTTATCCATTCCTTAACCCACATCAGATTTGTAGCTTGATAGTACAACTCCCTATTAGGCAAACCAAATACTCCTCTAATTCTAGCATCTTGCAAAAGTTTTAACTTTATTCTCGCTTTCTTACCTTGCCATATATATTTCAACACAATTTTATTTAAATCTTCAAAGTAATCTTTTCTAAGTCTAATTGGAATTGTTTGAAACAAATATAAATTCTGGGTAATATATTCATCTTGATTGTTGAAATTCTCCCTATTAGTGACAGTTGTAAATTTTCCCATTTCACCACATCTAGCACTATCTGCTGTTTAAGTTTGATATAATTATTCTCTTTTAATGTACTACATCTTGCTGTCAAATATATCCCCAAGTACTTGATCTTATTCGTGACCTGAATTTTCAGTAGGTCTGCCAGTTCTTCCTTTTGTCTTAATAGCATATTCTTTGTCAAGATCTTTGTCTTATCTTTATTAGCTTAAATTCTTCCTTTTTGATTTTCATTCCTTTTATATTCTTTTCATCTCTAATATTTCTGTTTAGCACTTCCAAAGTTAACACAAACAGCAAAGGTGATAGTGGGCACCCTTGTCTTGTTCCTTTTCTTATATTGATAGATTCTGTCAGTTCTCCCTCTATCATTACCTTTGCCATTTGCTTATCGTATATAGCTTCTATTGCTTGAATAAATTTTCTAGCAAAACCCATCTGTTCCAACAGTAATAACATGAATCGCCAATTCACATTATCAAATGCCTTCTGTGCATCTAGAAATATCAGAACCATTTGTTTTTCAGGATGTGCCTCGTAATATTCCAAGGTGTCCAAGATTACTCTCATATTGTCTTTAATTTGTCTCTTGGGCAGAAATCCATTTTGATCAGGATGAATAAAATTATTTAAATATTTTTTAAGTCTTTCTTCTCCCCACCGCCGCTGCTGCTTCTGCCTTCCAGTCCTGCCTCATCCAGCCGGGCCATTTGCAGGAGGAGAGGTAGGCGCGAGGCGAGCAAGCTTTCTCCCCCCCACACGCAAAATTTGGCCGGAAAATAAACTGTGATAAAAAAACCGTGATAAAAAAACCATGAAAAAAAAAAAATAATTTTAAATAAATAATTAATAATAAATAATAAAAACATCTCACTAACTTAATTTCCAAATACATTTAATATGTTAACTATGTTTTCTATGGTTTTTTTGGATGATCAGGTATCGTTACTGTTATTTTATTTTATGTGCGGCCCAAACCAAATTTTCATCTTCTAATGTGGACCAGAGAAGGTGAAAGGTTGGACACCCCTGCTCTAAGGTCTTAGAGGCTAGTCTTTTCATAGTATTCCTTTCCTTGTATAGTCTATTATCAAGCCTCTAACATATGCCTTCATTGTATCCCATACATTCTGAATTGATGTATCTTCTTTTTTGTTTTCTCTTAAAGAAAAAGGCCAATTCTTTCTCCATCCACTGTGTGAAGTCTTTTTCCTTTAAAATAGTATTATTTAATGTCCATCTAGATCAGTGGTTCCCAACCTTTTTTTCGCCCCGCACCCCTAAAGAAATTTCACTCGAACCTCTCACCCCCTGAAATTTAGACTTTAGGAACTACTGAACGCATTAAATATATGGTAGGATTGAATCTTTTCAGCTATGTGTGTGACGGCCACTAAATAACGATACTTAACTCTAAAATGAAAACAAAGTTAATCCATTGCATAATAAATAAAAATGCCCACATATAGCCAATATCCTATTATTTACCTGGACTTTTCTCGCCCCCCCTGGAATATCGTCTCGCACCCCCCCAGGGGGTGCAAGCACCCCAGATTGGGAACCCCTGATCTAGATCTTCTTTTTTGTCCTTTCCATTTAATTGTCATTGGATTGTGATCTGCCCCAAGTACTTGTTTCAATATTTATTTCTTGAATATTAGTTATTAATTCTGTTGACATCCATATCATATCTTTTCTGGTCCATGATAAGTGTCTATTTGAATAGAAGGTATATTGTTTAGTTTTAGCATTTCTTTCTCTCCATGTATCTTTCAAGTTTATTTCATCTACCATTTAAAAAAAAGATTTAGGGAGTGTCTTTCTGTTTTGCTTTATTGTTTTCTGTGCTGTATAGTCCAATTTATTGTCTACAATTCCATTAAAATCTCCCATCATAACTATATTAGCTTAGTCCAGTTCAATTATTTTCATATGTAATTTTTTGTAGAATTCTTCTTGTTTGTCATTTGGAGCATAGATTGCAATCAGGAGTGTTTTCGTATTATAGTCCATTATTTCCACCATTAGTATTCTTCCATCATCATCGGTATAAATCAATTTTGCTGGGGGTGGTCTCTTTAATATATAAAATCTGTTCTTTCTATAATCCACTATAAGCTCCTTGGTCTTATTGGTGTTGAGGACCAAGTTATTGTCTCCACACCACAAAAGCAACCGGTCCACCTCATCTCGGTAGGCAGACTCATCCCTCCCAGAGATAAGTCCCACCACTGTTGTATCCTCTGCAAATTTAGCAATAGCATTACTAGCATGAATGGGAATGCAATCATGCACATAAAGAGTATAGAGTAAGGGACTCAACACGCAACCCTGTGATGTACCAGTGTTAAGAATAAGGGCTGAAGAGGTATGATTACCTAATCTGACCCTCTGTGAGCATCCAGACAGGAAATCCATAATCCAAAGGCAGATTGAATTAGAAAGCCCAAGGTCCAGAAGTGTAGACACTAGTCTATGTGGAAGAATTGTGTTAAACGCAGAACTAAAATCCACAAAAAGCATCCTCACGTAGCCCCCCTGCTGTTCTAAATGAGTCAGAGCAGTGTGAAGAGTGATGGCTATAGCATCCTCTGTAGATCTACTTTTTGTGTATGCAAA